CCGCCGGTGCAATTCCTGTATTTAAGACTTGCGTTACAGAAAGGAATTGCACCAAGAGCGAAACGTTTGCAAATAGAACATATTACACAGCGAGTCAATTAACGAACGAAAACTGCTCGATACTGAAGCGAAAACAAATATTATTGCTGTTTCAGTGGTGAATTTTCGACCATGAATAACGAACGGTAGGTAGCAAATCCACGCCATAAATTTACCCCTTTACCGAAGTAGATTTGACCCAAAAATTTCTCTTCCAGCGAAAATATAAAAGTTTGTGTTTATTTGATTTGAAAAAAGGAAAGATTTTTAATGCTAACATAGCTTTCGACCACAAATGCCTACGTGATCTCCAAGTCTCTTGAGCTCAACAGCGTGGCAATCACAGATCGGTGCAATTCCTGTATTTAGCTGCAAGTATTGAATGGGAGTCTTTGGCGCTTAGCCTGCTCAATTTACTAAATAGATGTGAGATAGATTCTGAAGAACTAACATATCCTATCGCAGCCAATGTACTCAATGGTGTTGAAGTGCCTCTTTCAGTTATTATTTTCATAGCCTTTGTTTCTTGAGCTTCGCGAATGCTTTTGCGAGATTCACCGATACTGGTGGCAACAACTTACTGAAATGGAAAGAAGGACAACCAGTGCTGTGGACTTAGGCAAGCCGTCATGTAGCTACGGGGCACGTGATAATATCGAATGACTGTAGCTTGAATTATCGAATGAATATAGCGTGTATCAGACCTCTCAAGTCTCATGATTTTGTCATGAGACTCACGATTTTCAGTTCAATCTCACAGTCTCACGACGAGACAGACAAATCTCACGATAAATAGAGGCGCAAGCTGAAAGGATACATATTTTGTATAATTTCATTTTTGGCTTGCAAGAGGTGAGTTTTTTTGTGCCAATTCTGTGCAAATCCATAACAAACCAAGCTGTTACGTTCTTCATCTGTCTGTTCGCTGGAAACACGGTGAGTCGTCCATGACCATATATAGAACACCTGTTCCAAATTAGAACATCATAACCAGTCTCTCGCATTTTGACACGACACATTATCAAAATGGCGGCAATTGATGAACCTGATGAATATTATATTTAGAGTTTATTTCTGTGTTGTTAAGGTCCATGCACTTTTTAAGTAAATTATGAGCAGGACAAAAAACACTTTCTCTTAATTTAAGAACCTGTGTTTACTTGGTTTTGTCTGCCAGTCGACCAATCTCCAGATTTTTACTGAAATCTCCAGATTTTTTTACATCAGTCTCCAGATTTTTGGTGTCTTGAGGTTGAGAGGTCTGGTGTATTATCAAATGAATATTGCATGAATTATTGAATGAATATTACTTGAATTATCGAATTAATATGCATGTATTATCAAATGAATATTGCATGAATTATCGAATGAATATCAAGGTAATTTATCGAATTTTGCCCTAAGTTTATCGAATGTATTGAACAAAATCACATATATTTTAAATCATCAAACGCACACACACGACATTGAATATTGACACACTTCGGCAACCATACTCTACACCAATTTTCACAATTCCTCAAAAGCACACACTGATTGGCCAGGATAACAACAAGGATTGTGAACATTTCAGAAGATTAAGATGACTTGAGTGGCCTTGTCAAGAAATAATTGAAGCTAATTGTTTATTCAATATGACAGAGAAGAGAAAGCCTTTAAGACAAAGCCACTGGTGAATTTTGAAATATCACTCGGGGCTTTTTCTCAAGTGCCCCTAGAAATATCCTATTTCTCGCACTTAAATAACAAGAGCTGTGTTTGTGTGCAATTTACAGTGGTGTAGTCATATTGTTCCTTGGCGCGCAGAATATTGCTCAATTGGTTACAGATTGTGTTGTGCGGGAGGTAGAGGGTTCGAGCCCCGGCTGGACCAATGTTCATGGTCTTAAAATGACTGAGGAGAATTCACTACCTTTCTATAACAAGAAATGGATAGATATTCTAGTCTTCTCAGATAAGGATGAATAAACCATAGGCCCCGTCTCACCTATGTAACCTATATCTGTAACCTATGTGTTGCATTTATGTAAGGGTGAACATATCAGTTACAGAGCTCTGTAGAACTGCTAATGATATATGGATAACTTGTTTTCTCAGTATGATTTTCCTGAGCTCTGTCAAACTGATGTTGTAAAGGCTCTTAAACAATTTAACAGTCTACAGCCATTGGAAGGAATGTTTGGTGAGATAATTGTATAATTAATATGCAGTTGACAAAAATTCCTATTAGTTCTATAAGTGAGAATGCAGTCAAACAAATTAAAGCTTTCATATATTTTTAAGTAAAACAGATTTCGTTTCAGTTTAATTAACATAAGTCAATTCATTTGATTTTAAATTGATACCTAATGAGAGAAAAACTGTTACTTTGCAAAATAACCCTGAAATGTAGACAAAACATGTTTTTATTTAGAAACAGAATTAATTCAAAATTGATCTCAATCTAATTCAATTGAGACCTGTTAGAAGCAACAGTTTGGTGGAATTTTTAATATTTTCATTCAGAGATAAAATATCACACTAGTTTAACTAAATTTATCTAGGACCATTTTGGATGATGTTATCTCAAAAGGATTGACAATTGGTACATTGATTCTTGATATGACTGTCATGTTTTGAATAAGCTGGGAACTCGAAGACTAGTTGCTTACTTAAGGTTGACAGTACTGTTACAACTGTCTGCCATATATATATATATATATATATATAAAGATGAGTTTCTAGAGTCGGACCAGTTCAAAAACATTAAATGTTAAAGCAATTATAAATGTTAAGCAATTAAATATTTTTGAACTAGTCCGATTCCAGAAACTCATCCTTATTCACTGCTCTGGTCTTACCATCGAGCACTTTTATTGCAGATGAAGTCTTTATTTTCAGTTACCACTGGTAGTTAATATATATATTAATTACTGTGTTTGTTTATATGTGTCATCACGCCCTATATAAATCTATTTAAGGAATTTGTAAGTCATTGTATTACAACTGATGAAGGTCTCGGACCGAAACGTATTTTATTAAACTTTCTTAGACTTTTTATTTGAGTATATGTCTTTCTTAGCTCGAAGTTGTCCGTCCTCGTGTACTACAATATTTTTCCTATTTATCGCCGGTTGGTCTTAAAAGCAGATGAATTTTACGCCGTATATTTTTTCGCCAGGACAAACGAAGCTAACCAGAACATACAGATGTCCTTTGCGCATAATTTCCTCTGCATTTAATTTATTACATAGCTAGCAGCGCTCGTGGGCAATATGGGGCGAATCCTGTGTTCTTTATGGCTACCCGAGCGGGCAAGTTTGGGATTGCCCGCTTTGAACCCGCGTAGGAAAAAGGTGAGGCGGACTTACAAAGTTCGTGATTTCTATACAATGTCTGCAATGAAGTCGCAGAAAGTGGGAGAAGACAGTCAAAACAAAAACATAAACGACCCTCGTGGGTTTCTTGTGCCAAAAACACGTTTGGCTGTCTCTTATAACTTTCGAAATGAACAAGTCATTCTTGGTTCCTATCAAAGCGAATCTTTCAGCTATATATTCGTTACAATGAATATATGAAGTTCATATATTTGAACTGCGGTATTAGATACGTATGATGCACGATCCTCGCAGTAGAAAGCGCTATTTATGCAATAGCGAGAATCAGACCTGAAAAAAAAATCAGGCCTATACGGGATTCGAACCACTGACCTCTACGATACTAGTGCAGCGCTCTACCAATTGAGCAACTGGGAGCAGGGCGTTAAGTTGATTCGTAAAAAACCCGTGATGATAAATCAGTTACAATGAATATATGAAGTTCATATATTTGAACTGCGGTATTAGATACGTATGATGCACGATCCTCGCAGTAGAAAGCGCTATTTATGCAATAGCGAGAATCAGACCTGAAAAAAAAATCAGGCCTATACGGGATTCGAACCACTGACCTCTACGATACTAGTGCAGCGCTCTACCAATTGAGCAACTGGGAGCAGGGCGTTAAGTTGATTCGTAAAAAACCCGTGATGATAAATCAGTTACAATGAATATATGAAGTTCAAATATTTCAACTGCGGTATTAGATACGTATGATGCACGATCCTCACAGTAGATGTTATGATTTTAGAAATTTCTCTGTTGTTCAGCTCTGAAATTATACTAAAGCAATTATTCACCTCAGGTTCGGTGAATATTGTCGAATAATTATTAAATATAACTAACTGCAGACAGTACTGTTTTGGCCTTCTGGGCCTCATCAGTGCAGTGCTGGTGCCAGGATAGGGGTGAAGCTATAAAGCCACCAGAGATGATTGCACATTTGTGGTAGAATTTAAGCCATGCCAGAGTGTTCAAGTCTTTAGTGGAACTCTCAGGCCAACAAAGGTGCACCACACCAGGAGGATCAGTAAAGATTCGCATCCAAGCCTCACAGCAAATGTGAATGTAGAGAGTTAAAAAGAAATGCGAGGATGGACAACTTCTCACAATATAAAAAAATGTAAAAAATTTGAATAAAATGTTTCAGTCAGAGACCTGCAGAGATCTTCTTCTTCCGTTATATATATTTAGTATAATTTCAGAGCTGAACAAAGAGTCTCCAGCAGTGTGATTGGTCGAGCGGTTCCTTATATAACGCTATATATGACCCTATATATATATAAGTGGAATAAATAGAAGAAGAAGCAAACTTTTCTCTTGTGGCTTTAATGCATGTACGTTTCGCCCATTTGGGTTTCCTCAGCACTAAATATCAGTATATACATATATTGAATTTTATATTTTAGTGGAATATTTGAAGCTTAGAGGGTTGTGGAAAAAGTTTTTGAAATCTGTACATACACATAGCCTATTTACGGGCCATGTGGCCCATCGGGCCAGTGCTTAACTCCAGTTTCCATAGCATGAAGCAGCGAGGAGTAATTCTCCCTGGATGGGTTACCCCCAGCATTAAACTCATGAGTACCCATTTAACTCTCCTAGGTAAAGAGAGGCACTGTGAGAGTAAAATGTCTTGCCTAAGGACACAGCACAATGTCCCTGGTCAGGGCTCGAACCCAGACCACAGGATCCAGAGTCAAGCTCACTAACCATGAGGCCACTGTGCATCCTCCACACACAAAGGCAATCAGTTTATTCATACAGTACTTTATTTAACCTGCAGTATACAATGATGGAAGAGAAGTTGAATTGTTTTCTCTAGAGGGAACAATTCCAGTTCTAATCAGAGGTGAGATCTACAGATTATTAATAAAATATCAATCAGTTTATACACAGTGTAATGTGGTGTATGATCCTAAATCATAACGTAAATCAGCCACAGTAATTACAGTTTTTAAAGCTGACATTTCAAGCATTAATAGCCCTTAGTTATCACTCTGGTAAAGAGGCTAATGATCAAAACATCTGCATCTTCAGAAACTCTTTGTGGAGGCCAATTCTTAACTGATACCCCAATGATGTAGAACCACTGACAGTTTTCTTTAGAAACTTGCCTTCTCTATAAACAGTGCAATTTCCCTAGCATGAAATTCGTACATCAATCAACACAGCACCATACACTTTTGCAGGGAATTGGATTCATGTAAATGTGATGAATGTACAAGGAAGATATAAGGAAATGAGTTAACTACAGGCCTACCTTTTATTCCTCAAATGCTGCTTCTATAGCCAGCTGACTTAATTAGGTCTCAAGAATTAAGATGAGATTTTAATATCTTCTTTGTCTGCACACAGTCATCAGATTCCTTGATGTAAATTCCTTGTTATTTTAGGTATAAAATACAACATCCCAATTCAACTCTGGTTGCAAAAAAGACACCCTTATGTTCCACCATTAGTGATTGTCACACCTACTGATACAATGGAAATCACTCCGTCTCCACTTGTGGATACTAATGGAAATGTTTACCATCCCTGTCTTCATACATGGCATCTTGAAGTATGTGTTGAAAAACTATATTTTTCTGTTTTAGCTTGTTACCCTGGAATGACTGTAAATGTTGAAAGCAGGGAAAGAAATAGAAAAGAGCACCAGATATTGAAGTGAAAATTCAAAATCATATTGTGTCTAAGGAGACTCATTTAATTGTAGACATAAAAACATCAGAATATCAATTATAATTGAGATATGGGGTATTCCTTAAGTACGAGCCAAAAATTTTATTGAAAACTTGTTGGACTTCAGTTGCTTCTTAACCAACAACTGAGTTCAACAACTGAGTTCAACAACTTCATAATTCTGTTATCTTTTGTAAACAATTGGATTAAAGTAGTTACTGTACATGTAGTAGAGTGTAGTACACTCTTTCAATACAGTTAAGTACAATTTCTACAGGGTCACAATAAAGATACCCGGAGATTATTATACTCTATCTAATTATAATGTTACAGCTTGTACTATCAAAGCCATAAGTTTCTCATTCCCTTTTCTTTTTTTAATCCTTTCAGTCCAAATCTAATCTTTTAGATCTGCTTCAAATTCTTTGTGAAGTGTTTGCTATGCGACCTCCAGTTTGCACGAAAATTACAGGTACATATGTGATACTGTAGTATTATCAATGTTTTTGAGTATATTTTTTATAGAAATGGAAATGCAATTGCATCAACTGTATGCAATTCACTCCATATACATGACTTTACATTTATCACTTCCTCCTATTACAAGACTATGGGCTCTCTTATTTCCTCCTACTTATTGTGTTATTTCTGTAGTTATGAGTTAAAGGGATATTAAGAAAGTAGACAGTCAAAGACTGCCTGTGGCAACTAGTAGAACTAACAACATCATGTGTTAGTGACTATAATCCAGAAATCACAAACTCTGGAAAAAAAAAAAAAAGAAAAGAAAAAGTAAATAGAACTGGAAAACATCGGATCAAACTTGAGAGGCAGTAGCCATAAAAATAGACTTTCGTCTACAACCTTTAAAAAAGAAAAAAGAAAAGAAACCGATCAGATATTTTAGTAAAATGCATTTCGAAAACACCTGTGAAGCAAAACAACTGGAGAATGAAATAATAGTGGGATAACAATGAGATGGTTATAATAAAATATGAGTGAACATTGTGCTCATTCCTCACTTAAAACCATCGAATAAGGAGTGTGTACCATAATATATAGATTTAGCCAAGCCAAAAAGCGGAGCTCCCAAGTTCTCACTATTAATGATAACATAAAAGATGTGCATTTGCCAAGACTAGCCTGAGATACCCCTCCCTTCGTTTTCATAGTCTCCCCTACCCTACCCGTGCAATCCGAAGACACGTACGTACGTACGTACGTACGAACGAACGCTCGGTCAGTCACGTGACAACCAAACGAAAAGAGGTTGACCATATTCCATGGATATGGGGCAGAGCGTGGGAGCCCCGCTATGATTTACGGCCAAGTCACCCGAAAGTCATCTCGCCCGAAACCAGAGTCATGTCGCCCGATTATTTTTATCGCATGCAAAATCATCACAATGGCAAATTTGTAGACAGCGCTGAAGGTACCGATCAGTCGAATAACCCTCTTGGGGTATTTACTTACGTTGCCGGAAATTATAATGAAATTTCATGGTTAATCTTAACTATAACAATTTTACTCAGTTATATCGGTCGTATTAGACTCACGTAACTGCTTCTGATCACATATGACAACGAAAGCAACACAAAGAACTATGAAAGTATTCTTTGTGGCAACAAAGAAATCTTATGCGTAGTTTGTTGCTTAAAAAGTAAAGCCTAAGATAAAGTTAAAAAGTCAAAAATTGCAATGCGGCCATTTTGTAGCTTCACTTTTCGTTCATATTTTTCCGCTGTTGCATGCTGTAATGAAACGGCTTAATTAATACATGAACTGGGTTGATAATGCATGTAAATTGGCCGCCGCAAAGAGTTTAGAAGCTACGGTTTCGAGTGAATGATTCGCCGTGAGGAAGGGCCAACGCTCGAAATGTCAGCTTAGAAACTCCCTCCGGTGACCAATTGATATTATCAACTCAGTTTGTTTAGTTATACTCTGCCACCGACGCAGCACCACTGATATTTTCTTAAGTAACTTACCCCCTTTCAGTCGCTTATTATATGGTTCAGTAATCCTTAGGTAAATACGAGCGTCCTGATTGCTTCTTAGTTGGTCGGCATTTCGCCTTACGGACCGTTTCCACGGAAACGTTTTTAGGTCGTGTATTTTGAGTTGTAGGAGCTGGCAAATTCAAAATAAACAAGACCAATCCGTGTGCCATATGATGAACTACTGATTAACTTTGCTTGCTTTAGCGATACTGCAGAATATCGACCCTCTCTCTTTTTTTATACAAACCTCGCTGTGCTCGGTCCGAACTGCCACGACCTCGGGCCATTGTTCCCGAGGACGGCTTTTACGCCAAGGAAGAAGTTAGTATTTTGCGCGAATTGTTGCCTTAATATGATGATAAAATGGAATGAGAATTACCTGTAATAAGTCACAAACCAGAATAAATTATTGTTGACAATAGAACACTATCTGAGGGATTTAATATTACTTATTTATTACTTGCATTTTTTTTTCTTACATTATAATTTTTAACAATACAGCACATTTTACAACCTGAAACGCTTAATTTTGCGTTATAGAGCTTCAGCTACAGCAAACTGGAAATTCACAGTCTTACTTACTGCAAGAGAATTCCTCTTTGCCAAGAAGAGCACCAACAACAGAAGATAACATTGTGTTACCGAGGCGGTTAATACCAACAGAACAACAACTGAGAGACAAAAATGAAGAACTAAGCCAGCAGCGGACACGCTTTCAAGCACAGCTACAGGAAAAAGAAGAGGAAAAAGCAAACCTTCTGGGGGAAAAAGAACAACAAGAGAGATACGCAGAGAGACAGTTGAGGGAGATGTCACAACAGCTTGCACACGTCCAAGGGTAATTACAACACAGAGATCAGGAAGCTGATAATTTGCGTAATCGGGTTACTGCTTTGGAGAGACTGTTGAGGGTAAAAGATCAAGAAGTAAATGAACTAGATATCTCTTTCAACAACTCAGTTGGTGATAAATGAAAATCCACACCAACAGTTACCTGACTGGGTCGTTTCACGCGATCAAACTCACGTAACAGATAAGTGCCTTGGGGGAGGAGCCTGGGGGAGTGTTTTTGAAGGAAAGTATCGTGGCTGTGCCGTAGCCGTCAACCAAATCCACGAGATGATTTTGTCCCCTCACAACAGGAGACTGTTTGAGCGAGAAATGAACATCGCTTCACGATGCCGCCATCTTTGTTTGCTTCAGTTCATTGGAGCAACAAATGATGAAGGAAATCCTTTGTTTGTCTCAGAGCTCATGGAATCGAGTTTACGAGTCGTGTTAGAGCAACAATCTCTTTCTTCAATTGAAGGGTCTGTTATAACTCTGGATGTGGCTCTTGCATTAAACTACCTTCATTTAAATGAGCCTTCTCCCATAATTCACCGCGACATCAGCAGTGCTAATGTGTTGCTATGGCGACAAGCTGACCGATGGCGAGGCAAACTCTCAGATTATGGAACTGCTAACGTTATGCAGCAGACCATGACAGTTGGTCCTGGTGCTATGATTTACAGTGCACCTGAAGCCCACACTAAAAGACAAACTGTAAAGGTAAGTCTGGCACAAATTTGGTATTGAGATCAGTTAAGTTGTCCCGTAGCCTTTTCATTGGGACCTTTGCTAAGATGTTGTAGACTGTTGTCATGAGTGGTTGAAAAAACAAACATGTAAACGTCCCAGATAGAAATTGAACCTATTTTCAGCGGTTTAGATTACGTAAAGTACCTCGACCATAGGACGAAGCTCAGGATCAGCAATGCCGGAAGTGTCCCTCAAAGGAAAGTAATTAATTGTAGCACTGCTGTAAATTGCTGTAGTTGTTGTTGTTGTTTTTTTTTAATTTTACTTTTCTTGTCTGTATTTTTGTTTCAAGGTTGATGTCTATAGTTTCGGAGTTCTTCTTTGTGAGATTTGCAACCGAGAACTGCCAGATCCTGACAGGCGTGACCAGCAGGTCGCCATGGTGACAGACCGCGCCCTTCGCGGTCTCATTCGTCGATGTATTCAACAAGATCCTGAGGCGAGACCCAGCATGGAAGACATAATTGGTGAATTAGAACAACTAGTTTAAGAATGGTTTGTGCAGGATGTAATGTATGACCAGTTTCATTCTTTTGAACTTTGGTCATCTAACAGAACGTGACAGAATTGTCACGTCACGGTCACTTTGCCAAAACTGTTTCTAATTGTATAGTCACATTTAGATCAAATTCCCTTTGGACGGAAAGAATCTCTATTATTGATCAACGCTTTTATTTTTCGGAAAGTTTTATGTTGTTCAACTGTAGTGAGCCAACGCTTGACAATGTAAGAAAGAAGCTTCAGCGAGTCAAGGACTTTGCTGCCCGAAATATTTTTCTGTTTTTATCTGCGTTTAGTATTAAGACAAGGTAGACTTGATACTGTAATGATATTGTGTCTGGAAAACCCTCTTTGAGAGTTACCGTAAAGGATGTACGTATGTAATATCATCCTAAACCTTGTAATGCTATGCAAATGAGTTGATGATTTAGTCCAAGTCGTTCTAATAGTGTAATACAATTTGTGACTGAGAAGCCCCAGTTGGAAGTTACAATATTATTTATCTATGTGCTTGTAAAAGCATCCTGCAAGCAAAGGAATACGTAGTTTATTGAGCACGCTAGCTTTTATTTCTTTGCAAATTGACTTTGTTTATAGCAATAGCTTTTTGTTTTTGTTTTTTGTTTTCATTTTTTATACTAACAGTGTAGCAAATTGATATTTGAAAAATACATGAAAGCTTTCTGCCATTGCGTCTTCAACCAGATCACTGGCTAGTGCTAGACCCGCGTTCTGACGTGAATTGTAGCTAGTAATCGTAACCATTACAGAGTGTCCAAAAAGCCAAGGCAGAAGTTGTTATTTAGGTGAACGATGGTTTAATAAAATGCTTCGTAACACAAATATTGATGTACGTAAATTGTGCAATTTCAACTTTACAAAATCCTGTTGCTTGGTGTTTTCCTCGTTAACGACCTTCTTTCGGCGAGAAACTGTTTTATGTAAGACTGTTTTCATGAAGATGTGGACGTGAGAAAGATCTTTTAAAAATATTGTTTTTCTCAAAGTTTAGAGATTTTGATACACCAAATGGATTCGTAAAGGAAATAAAGTAGTTTGTCGTGTATTCTGATTTTCTGGGTGATAGTCGACCAAAAATTACATTCATCATAGTTGATTGGCAAACTGAACTCTCTTCCGTCTAAAATTGTAAAATTGGTTGAAATTGGAAACTTTAAATGTACGAATGTCAGTTTTTTGGTCCAAGGACTACGTCGCATCGCTTGTGTTGGGTGGTTTTTCCTCTACACCTTTCAGATGGTGCGCCTCTTTGCGACAGCCATGATATGTGTTATGAGTCCATGGATAGTCATGGCCTTATCGTTACCCGGTTTGTACACCGACACTTTTCGTATCCGAGGTTTATAAGGCGGGGGTGGGGTGCACTTAACATTGAAGGGCCAATCACACTCGCCCGTGTTGTAGTTGTAGTGTAAACCTCTCGGACAGGTCTCTCTCTTCGTCTCTCCCAGCGAACACGAGTAGAATCCTGAGCAGTCGTAAGGGTCCGCGTAATTTCCGTTTGGTCGCTCAAGGCAGAACTCCTTGTCCACTATTAAAATACAGAATAGAGAGTAACAGATGCGTGTAAACGATGATTACTTCCATGTGAGCATAAATGTTTCATTTTCAGATAAATTTCCAAAAATAAATTTTCAGAATATTTAGAAGCCATAGTATGAGTCACATACTCTATTTGTTCTGTTAAAACTGATGTAGTTTGCGATTTTCATAATCTAAACCTCATAGTGGTCTTATTGTCAACGGTGTTGTTCCACTGCATTTAAAACGATTGCAGATATAAAGCGCCCATTTTACCTATGACTTCGTTAGTATTTGCGTCGGATTTTATGGCTGGTTTAACTGGTTTTACTAATGTCAGTGGTCTGTTTCCATTTCTGTCTGAAAAGGGAAGAAAGCAAAGAACGAGTTTGGAAAGTGTCCATTTTTGTATTTTTGGCCCTTTTTATAAATAGGATTTCGTGGACTTATATTCATTAACCTGTCACGAATGGACAGATTGGAAGCTCTTGGCTCCCCAGATAACGGATATAACTGACTTGTCCAGAACCCGAGTCGCACGGCAATATACCTGGGGGAAAAGATAGTTTTCGGTCGTACTCAAAGGTTTAAAGATCTGGGTGGACTTTCATCCAGCAAAAAATTGAATAAAATGTTCATTCTTGAGTAAATTTTTGATATGCCTACCTGTCACTGGATTGCTCGAGCCCAGGCTTTCACCTGTGTCCATTCCTTGACGGTGGGTTGGTTTCTCTTCCGGCTCATTGGATTCTGATTGCGCAACTTCAGTGCCTTCTGTCGTCCGGCAAGGAAAGCTCTGTGGTGTATCACATGACTTCAGTAAGGCATTGAACACCATTCCCTTCAGACAATGTCTCTTTGTAGCTCTGCCATTAAGACATTGGTAAAATGATGTACAGTTGTTGGGATCTTCGTAGAAGCCATCATATTTAGTGACGCAGAAGTTTTGGTCCACTGGAAATTGAGGGCAATCAGAGATTTTCAATTTCAAACAAAACAGTCAAATGCTTATTGCTCATCGAGAGAGATATGTCTTAGTTCCCTTTTGCCAATTAGAGAATGAAACTTCTGGGCCATTTCTAGTTTTCATGCAGTTTTGGTACAACCACCATCGGAGTCAAATAGTGGACGGGCCGAGGCTTTTATTCATTAATGTTTTTGTCTTTTACAAACGTGTAGTTCGATTTTTATTTATTCGAATTGCTCGCTATCGTCCCCAGCGGATTCAATTTTTCGATAATTATTTTCAAAAAGTTATAGAGACATTGTGCATTTCAAATGTTGAACAAGAACAACTACTCTACATACCTCTTTGTAAGAAATTCGGGGTCGGTTGGTGTTTGTTCAGTTCCATCCTCGGGGGGGGTATCGCTGGACTCATAAACTTGTCAGCATTTGGAGGGCTGATGAGTGATCTTTGGCTACATGGAAACCTAGCCGGATTGTCACATGACTTCAAGATATCATTAAATACCTGGCCCTTACCACAGCGTCGTCGGTAGGTAACGCCTCTTGTGCACTGATAGAATGTTGCACAATCCCTGTTATCTTGGTAATAACCATCAAGTTTGTCTTTGCAGAATGCCTCGTCACCTATTAAACCCAAGAGAGCAAAATAAACGTTGAGAGGATAAAACTGCTTTTAACTCGATGGCTCTTGTTGAGACTTGATCCCAAGGGATCGTAACTGCTCTTGACTATTTTAATAGCACTCACTGGTGTCTTTATCTCAGATGTCAGCTTACTCGATCATGTTAGAAGTTTCCTACCTGTTTCGTCGTTACTTTTCCCTAAGTTTGGACCTTGACCATAACATTTGATTGTGCGTGGGTCACTTCCTAGTAGAAAAGGAGGCATTACTCAGTGTGACCTGACGTGACGTGCCTGCTAAAACGGGAGGTGAAATCAGATGATATAAAATGAACTGACAAACAGATCAAACACTGACTGAAAATAGGTCGTCATAAACATTCTGACTTCTTCCATAGTTAAGAAAGGGATAAGTTTCTAAAGAAAATGTGGTACTGCGTTGGTGGTGGTGGTGG